TTTGGAGGTGCCAGATGAGTCCCAGCTGTGAAGCAATGCAAGCTGCTATGGAGCCTTGGGCCTTCTTTTGGATGTTCTGCATCTCTCTGACCCAGCTGCAGTTTGTAAGGTAATTTTAGATTGCAAAGGGCCAAGTCATTCATATGAAAAAGCCTCTGTACACAGCTGGGGTGGGGCGGGGTCTCAGGGAATCAACAGGGCGGAGCAAACAGCTATGGCTGATCCTCAGGCCTACCCTAAGAGGCCCCGAGTCTCAGTGTCCCAAGGTAATCACTGCAAGCTCCTCTGAGATAAAGCCACCCTCTAGTTCCAAGTTCTTCCCACTGCCAGACAGTCCAGTTTCCTCGAGCATGAGTCTGGGTCCCCAGAGACTTCCTGTAACTGGAGTTCAGAGCAGTTGGGGGCCTGTGTCTTCCTCCCGATTCAAAAAGACAGCCTCGTCCTCAGTTGCCAGCCCTTTCCGTGTGCGCCTTGTCTTCAGTTGCCAGCCCTTTCTGCATGTGCCATGTCCTCAGCTGCCAGCCCTTTTGGCCTCCATACCTCTGCACTTTACTCCCGCTCCTCCTCTGAGTCTCAGTGTGCTTTGCTTTCCTTCTAGTTGTAGAATTCCCACTCAGCCAGCCTTCCTGTGGTTCTGGATGATGTCCGTTTTGTCTTTTAGTTGTATTTTTGAAGTGGTTGTGTGAGGCAGCAATTTCACGTGTTTACCTATGCCGCCATCTTGGTTTCTCTCTAAAGAGTATTTCTTTTAAAAAAATATTTTTATTTCAGAGAGGAAGGGAGAGGGAGACAGCAACAGAAACATCAATGATGAGAGAGATTGGCTGCCTCCTGCACACCCCATACTGGGGATCGAGCCTGCAACCCAGGCATTTGCCCTGATTGGGATTTGAACTGTGACCTCCTGATTCATAGGTTGACACTGAGCAACACAGGCCAGGCCTATGCTGGAGAACCACTGAGCAACACAGGCCAGGCCTAAATAGTATTTCTATCAGTGCAAAGAAATACTAAAGCAACTAGTGAAAATCCCAGGCTCTTGGAGACTGAAAGCTACTTGACCGGGCGTAGCACAGTTTCTACTGGTGTCTTGTAAGACTTATTAGAACTAACATTTACAAAGACTTTATGGTGTAAAAGAGTATGTGGGTTTTAGCTGCAGGAAAATAAAATAAAAATTGTCCTAGAAATTTTTCAGCAGTTGAGAGGCTCCAATTTGAGGGACACATTTTATTATCCAGCACCAAGAAAAAACGTCTGTCTGAGGTCAAGCTTGCAATGTGAAGAGAAAGGCAGTGAGACACTTTTGATAACTGGATGTGGGTGGTGTCAGGAGCTGGTGGGAGAGGGGCTAGAGGGAGGGGCCTAATTAGGTCTCTCTGTGGAGCTAACAGTTGAACTGAGACCTGCAGACTAAAGGGAGCAAAGAGCAGGAAGAAAGTGGTCCAGATGAGGGGTCTGAAGCCTGGACCAGTACCAGCTTGACGTTTTCTGGAGCCGCGGGAAGTCAGTGAGGTGGGAGCTTAGCCAACCAGGATGAAGGTGACAGAAGTGAGGCTTGGAGGTGAGTGAACGTCAGATGACATAACATCTTAGAGACACACTAAGGGCCTTGACTTCCACCAAAGGGTGACGGGAAAACCCACACTGGACATTCAGGGACCTCCTCCACTGAAAAGCAATGCAAGGATCTCTCAGTATTCCCCGCGGTTTTCTACAGGGCGCCAACCCAGTGGGGCCTTTAGTGGAACAAGAGTTGAGCCTGAGAATGGAAATGCAGATGATATTCGTCTTCAGTACTTTCAACCCGTCATGTCCCCACCCAGACTGCATCTTCACGGCAGCCCTCCCAGCCACCTGCCAGGGACAGTTACTCTGTCCACATCCCCATGTGCTTGTCCTGGAAACTCATCCAGCACCTCCTGCTTCATCACAAACAGATAAACATCTGTTTGCCCCCAGCCCACCCTGGCTGTGCCTCTGAACAATGTTCAGGGTCCCTGGGGACTGTTGTCAACCACGTGGACCTGTCCGCTCCCGGCCTCTTCAGGTGGGAGGCCCTGGCACTGGGCCTCTATAAATTACCTTTTAACAGGACCAATATAATTTTAGAAAATGCTGATGCCTTTCACAAAATGGCCTGCGTACTCTCCTTCCCATGCCCCCATCAGAAAATGGGGCCCCTGCACCCTGCATAGCAAAGATGTTTCGCTTTTCTTGGTAACTTACCCCATGTGCCAGGATCTTTCTACCTGTGGCAGGAACACCCCTTCCAGGTCCTGAGGAGGAGGGTGACGCAGGGCCACCTGGGAAGGCACCTCTTCCCACTCTGACCCTCTCCTCCCCACAGGAAACTTCTGGACCCAGAGCCAGCCCTCCTGAGGCAATGCCGGGAAGCAGGGGTGAATCTGTATGTTGTGACCGACACCGTGGAGCTGCTCAACAGCCCTGTGCTGCAGGATCTCAGCAGCAAGAAGATCTCGGGGAAATTCTCCCTCCCTCTGGATATTTTGGTCAAGGTATGAGGTGGGGACACTGGTCGATAAAATAGGAAGTAGATTTAATTATGTGGCATTACCTTTGGTTTGGGTAAGGGATGGTTTCTGGCAAATCTAAAGGGGTTTTATGCAGGAAGAAATGAGGGACCCCACTACCAAACCTCAGTGGTTGAAGTTCCCTAAATGCCATGGCTTCCTGAGAAGAATGGGCAGCAGGAGGGAGATTTAAATGCCTTCAGGCTCATAGAAATGATATAACTCACTCACAAAAACCAACGATAGTACTTTCAATTATATAAGTCAATTCATTTATCAGATAGTGTGTGTTATAATGTGCTCTTACACATTATATATTTTACGTGTAGTTTGTCCTCACTTAGAATAAGAACTCAAGGAAAAAAGCGGAATTCTGAACTAATTTCCCCAAGGCTGGTGATTTAGTCTTGGAAGAGGGGAGTTTGAACAAGTGAAACATTGCTCCAGTGTGATGGGTGTTTGACCTTCAACTTTGGGTTTCCATCTGCTTGGGCTGGGAAACTGGCTTTCTGAGAACAGGAGACAATCTGGGGTTACCACCCCCACCCCCACCTGTCACAGCTCTTCCCAGGCAGACAGGTGCTAAGTGTTGGCCCTGTGCTGTGATGTTGTTAAACAGTTTGTGTATCACCTTGGTCATGGTTGCCTCGATTTTGTTTTGGTCAATCAGACAAAAGATCAATAAGGAAATGGAGGACTTGATCAACGCCATGTAGATTAATTGAACTACATTCCCTAACAGACATAAACAGGACATGCTGCCGAGTAGCACACATGTTCTCCCCATGTACACCCAGAGCGTTTTCCAGCTTTCTTATCAGTCTGATCAAGTTTAAGAAGCCTGAAGTTACACCAGATATCAACAAATGAAAATGAAAATACAATACTGTCCTGTACACCTAAAAATTGGTGAAATACTACATTTTTGGTGTGTGTGTGTGTCTGTTTTTTTTACCACAATAGAAATTAAATGGAAGAACTACAAAATAACAAAAAAGCTTTACAAAACTAAAACTATTTTTTTTTGTAGAACTAAAATCCATCTTGCTTTTATAGCAAGATATTGGTCTTACTTGTATCCTCAAATACCTTATTGTCATGTTCCTATTGAGCAAGGTATAAAATCATAAAGCCCTCCCCCCACAAAATAGTGGAAATAACAGCAAACAAGAAATAACTGACTTCTTTCAATATCCCCTGACTTATAGTATATTTTCTTTATCTGTCATTTTCTGCAGTTTGAATTCATAGTTCTAAAATTTTTAACTTTATTTTTATTGCTTGGAGTTCTCTGAGCTTCCCAGATCTGTGATTTCATGTCTGACATTAATTTGTGGGAAATCCTCAGTTATTATTGCTTAAAATATTTTTTCTGTTCCTTTCTCTTCTCCTTATATTACCATTACATGTATGTTACAACTTTTGTAGTTGTCCCACAGTTCTTGGATATTATGTTTCATTTTTTAGTCATTTTTCTCTTTGCTTTTCAGTTTTGATTTTTGCTGCTTCCAT